CATGAGCATCATCATCAGCACATCATCACCATCACCACCACCACCACCACCACCATCATCATCATCATCATCATCAGCAGCAGCATCATGATAATCATCGGCAGCATCATCATCGTTCTCCTCCTCCTCCCCTTACCTCTCCTCCTCCTCGTCCTCCTCCTCCTTCTCCTCCCCCTCCTCCTCTTCCTCCTCATCCTCATCCGCCGCCGCCTCCTCCTCCTCCTCCTCCTCATCCTCCTTCTCTTCCTCCTCCTCCTCGTCATCGTCATAATCATAATCAGCAGCATCAGCAGCATCATCATCATCATCATCATCATCATCATCATCATCATCATCATCACCATCGTCATCATCATCATCATCATCATCATCATCATCATCAACAACAGCATCATCATCGTCATCCTCATCATCATCAGCATCATCATCAACATCAGCATCATCGTCGTCATCATCATGATCATCATCAATCATGAGCATCAGCATGATCATCATCATCATCATCATCATCATCATCAGCAGCATCATCATCAGCATCACCATCATCAGCATCATCATCATCATCGTCATTATCATCATAACCATGAGCATCATCATCAGTAGCATCATCATCAACAACACCACAACCACCACCACCATCAGCACCATAACCACCACCACCACCACCACCATCAGATTCGTCATCCTTATCATCGTCATCGTCATACTCATCCACACCCTCATCATCATCACCATCATCATCCTCGTCATCAGCATCATCATGATAATCAGCATCATTAGCATCATCAGCATCAGCATCATCATCACCATCATCATGATGACCATCATCATCAGCATCATCATCAGCAGCATCGTCATCTTCACCATCGGCATTATCAGCATGATCAGCATCATCATCATCAGCAGCAGCATCAGCATCAGCATCATCGGCATCTTCATCATCAGCATCATCAGCATCATAATCAGCATCAGTATCATCGTCATCCCCATCATCATCCTCATCCTAATCATCATCATCACCACCACCACCATCATCATCATCACCACCACCACCATGACCATCATCAGCATCATGCTCCACTCCTTCCCATCGTTGTCTCCCAATCCCCATCCCCCTCTTCCTCCTCCTCCTCCTCCTCCTCCTCCTCCTCCTCCCCCTCCTCCTCCTCCGCCTCCACCTCCTCCCTTTTCCTGCTCCTCCTCCTCATCATCATCATCCTCCTCATCCTCCTCATCCTCCTTTTCCTCCTCTCCTCCTCCTCACTCCTCCTCTCCCCTCCTCCTCCTCCTCCTCCTCCTCCTCCTCCTCCTCCTCTTCTTCCTCCTCCTCCTCCCCCCTTCCTTCCCCCTTCTCCCAGGCAACCCGAGCCTTTGGGGCAGGGTGAGGTAGTCGACCTGGAACTGCGCTTCCGCCGCCGCCGCCGAGGAGGCCGTTGCCGCCGCCTGGTCGCCGGGCGACAGGTCGGTCACCAGGCAGTCAGTCAGGATGCGCACCTCATCGGCGCGAGCAGGGCGTGCAGGGCGGGGGGGGGGCGGCTTCCGAGGGGGCCCCCCGGCTCTTGGAAACAAGGGGCGGAAGAGCCGCTCGCACAGTGCGCACACCCTATGGGTTTCCTGATGTAGTAGGCGCACCGAAGAGGACGATGCTGTTCAATGAACGCACGGGACTGCTCAACGCACACCATCCATGGGGGTCATGCCGATTCCTCCTCAAGGCCTCTACGAAAACCCCCAAAAAAGCTGGCTTAGCAGGGGCCCCGTGCTTTTATAGGTTCGTTGCACACCTTTGGGCTTACAAACCACGATATGTCACCAAATTGTTTCTAATGGTGCTAGGCATCTCTCAAGTGCTCAAGATGCTATAATGCGTGCTGGATTATTTGAAATCGCACTTCCCATCGACGCGAGCGTAGCAGTGCATGAGTGGTTCATTGTGCACGCCACAGCGCGCATCCGCACACCCCCCGATTCGAAGCCTCCCTGCATGTCCAACACCAATCACCAGCGGTGCGGATTCGCGGGAATGACGACTGCCGCAACGAGGGGGCCACTCAGCATCTTGGACGGAGCTACCGAGTGATTCACACAGGCGTGGGCCCATCCAGCGGGCCAAAGGCACGGGCGACAAGGCCAGCCGGCGAGGGCGAGGGCGCGGGAGGGCGACCGAGCAGCGGAGACGTCCGACACTCCAGGATGCGAGGCCACGGCGACACTGGATTCGCGACCATGCGGCGCTTGTAAACAGAATGAAGAAGTCCGAAAACCACGTAGTGAACATGTTCTACACGGTCTAGAGGGGCGGCGAAGCCATAGCCGTGCCTTCTTGGAAGGCCGCCCTCCCGCCCCCCGCTCCAACCCCAGTTTGCGCGCCGCCGGGCGCCCCAGCGTCGTCGCACTCTCGGCGCAGCATCTCCACGATCTGGCCCGCGGACTCATCGCAGAAGAGCTGCCCCAGCTTCTCGAGAGCGCTCTTCTTTTGCGAGATGGCGGCCGATACCGGCCCTGGCCGCCCGCCTCCCCTCCCCTCCAGGCAACGTCACGATTCGTGCTGACCTCCGAGCTGGCTTTGGTTATGGTTACTCCTAAGACATTCCCAGACGGCGCCGGCGCGAAACGTGACGCTACCAGCGCCCCGCCCCACTCCCCCCCTGGTAACGCCCGTCATCGCCGGGGAGTAAAAAGCGCTCTCCTTCTCGTGGTACTTGATGCCGTGCTTGTCCATCAGCGCGATGAAGTCCTGCGGGCGGTAGCGCGAAAGCACCGACTTGAAGAACTCCGCGTCCGCCCCGTCGCCCGAGGAGTGGAAGCCGTCCAGCAGCCCCGGCGAAATGTTCGTGAAGTTGCAGCGCCCACCCCCGCTGATGCGGATCTTCTTGCCGATGTCCGCGTTCCTCTCGAGAACCGTGACCCGCCTGCCCCTCCTGCGGCGGCGCGAACAAGGGACGGGCAGGGCAAGGGGATGGGGGGGAAGGCTACCCTCCGAGGAGGCCGAGCGGCTTCTCACAAGAGGCTGCCCCCCCTTCGCACGAAAAAAAGCAGGTGGGAGGGCTTCTGAGAAGCCCCGCCGCCTGGCCATCCGACGTCGTGATTCTCGTCACGACGTGGACCACCTGGAGGTCTTGCCCCATTCCCCAGGGCTGGTTTCCCGTCCTGAGTCGTCTTTTCACGGCCCGGGGTCCGGTGAGGGCCCATGGAAACCGAAAACGGCCAGGAACCTCCCTCCATGTGAGAAACTTCGGCGAGCGACGATCAACAACGAGTCCTACGCGAAATGGCACAGCGACCTTACGCGGCGGCTTGCGCGGGCCGCCAGCGCGGCACGCCACAATGGAGACGAGGGCGCTAACGCGCGACCTTACGCGGGCAGCTGGCGCGCTAACGTCGACGAAGACGCCCCCGTTCATCTGCGTCGCTCAGGCGAGGGCCGCGTGAGAGCCGCACGGCGTCCAACACGCGCCTCTCGTGCGCTGCCGCCCGTGACCTCTGCACAGCGTCAGGTCGGGCACGTCCCCCCACAGGCAGATTTTGAATCAAAAAAAACCCAAAAATACCCCCAAATTGTCAAAAATACCCCCAAATTTTCAAAAATGGTCAAAAATATCGTCCCCCCGGGGGCGGAGGGCGACGCGGGCCAGCTGACCAGAAAGGCCTGACACCCAGGCGCAGCACGCCAGACGGGATCTTTTTTTATCTTTTGACTATTTTGGGGTACTCCTCCTGCAGAGGAACAGGCCCGACCTAAGCACAGCATGAGGCTGCCAGGCGGGTGCCTCCGAGGCGCGCGGACGCGGCGCCCAGCGCGGAGGCGCGGCGATGCGCCCCTCGGTGCCCGCCCCCCCCCCCCCCCCCCCCCCCGCGCCCCTCGGTGCGCGCCGCCCGCTCCTGCCAGCGGTGATCGCGGCCAGCAGCCCCGCCGCCCCGCCTCCGAGGACCACCACCTCGGACCGCGGGGGAGCGGCGGAGCAGAAGGAGCATCGTTGACCCGAACCCCATCCCCGGCGGCATGGCCTGGCCCCCACTGGCCGATCTACCCCCCAAGATGGGGATACAGGTCGTTCCCTCGTCTGTTTTCGATGGGCGTTTCCCCAACTGGGTTGGTAATCTGGTAGGGCCTCGAAGGGGATGGGGATGGGGATGGGGATCGGTGAAACGATACCGACAGAATTCGCCGGGCCAACGGGCCAGAGGCGTGCTGAGATGTGCCCAGCACCAGGTGAGCAGCAGAATCCAACAAGCCTCCCAACGAGGCCTCGCGTCCAGGACCAAGCCTGGTCGAGACCACTACACACTGCATGCAGTGAGGGCCGGCAGAAACAACGAAGCGATTGAACAAGGAATCACGGCATAAGCATAACTTTCCGACTCCGCGCGGAGTTCCGAAAGCTTGTGCGTATGAGCTGATTTCGTGTGATCATCCGTGTTCCCACAAGAGTGATTGCGCTCATGGGGTCTTGCTTCTCTTCTCAAGGACTCGGCCTGCTCGTCGGTGTGTCGGCCATGTGATCGCCGTCGCTGCCCTGTCTTCTCCGCCTGCCCGTTGGTTTGGGGGCCATGTGGTCGCCGTCGCCGTCGCCGCCACGTCGCTCCGGGCCTGCCTGTCGGACTGACGGCTATGTGGTCGCCGTCGTCGCCCCGTCGCCGTCTGGGCCCGCATGTCCGTGCATTGATTTGCGTTACGCTCGCATTGCGTTCCATTGATTTGCATCGTTGTATTTGCATTGCGCTGCACTGCGTTGCATGGGTGTGCATCGATGTGCCTTGCATTGCCTTGCTTTGCGTCACATTGGTTTGCATTGATTGGTATTGATCCACACTGCTTCACATGATGTTGCAGTGTTTCGCGCTTGAGTTATTACTCACTCGGGCCGCCCTGTGGCCGCCGTCGCCGCCCGGTCGCCGCCCGCCGCCTCGTCGCCGCCTGTCGCCGCCCGTCACCTGGGCACTGTATGACAATCTCATCGCACTGCAATCGCGCTGTTTTGCAATCGCATGGCACTGCATCACTTTGCATTGCATTGCTTTGCATTGATCTGCACTTCTTCGCAGTGTTTGGCATTGCCACGGGATCCCACGGATACTCGGTCGCACAGATGCGCTCCTCGCGCACGCGCGGAGAAACCGCCCCGTGTCCGCGGGGTCGCGGCCCAGGGGCCAGGGGCCAGGCCCGCGAGGCCGTGGACACGGACATGTTTCCCGCCCGAGACCTCACTAGGTGGCGACATCCAAAACCTACCCCCACCAACACCCGATCCTCCTGCATCGATGGGAGGCGGGGGCAGGGCTCGGGTCTCGCCACGTGCCCGACGAGCTCCGAACCCTGCCCCGCCGGCCTTCGAGTTGCCCAAATGGCTGATCGGCGGGGGTAGTGTTCGGACTTCGCCGCCGCATGGCAGGCGAAGGCACAATGTCCAAAGCCCGTCGTCCGCCTCCTCTTCTTCTTAGTTGTTTTAATATTTCATTAGTTTTCGCCTTCTTCTTTTTTCGTCGTCGTCGTCGTCGTCACCGTGACCGTCATCGTCGGCGTGGTCGTCGTCGTCGGCGTCGTCGTCGGCGGCGGCGGCGGCCCGGCACGACGTCCGAGGCCCGCGCACCGCCTCGTGCGCCTCTGGCCCGGCCCGCCGCGGCGCGGCGCGCCGCGGCGCGCGCCCGCCGGCGGCCGCGGGGGGGCCCAGGATCCTCGGGCGGCGCAGGCGGGGCCCCGAGGAGAGACGGCAGAGCAGGAGAGGACGAGGGAGGGAAGCTGGAGCCGCAGGGTGAGAATGAAGAGAGAGGCAGCAGCAGCAGCAGCGCGACCTCCGCCCTCTCGCCCTCTGCCGCCCGCCCGCGCGCTGGCTCGAACAAAAGCTCCGCCCGCGCTGCAGCCATGCCAAGCCAATGCCAGGGCAGCCCTCTCCTCCTCCTCCTCCTCCTCCTCCTCCTCCTCCTCCTCCTCCTCCTCCTCCTCCTCCTCCCCCCTCCTCCTCCTCCTCCTCTCCTCCTTCCTCCTCCTCCTCCTCCTCCTCCTCCTCCTCCTCCTCCTCCTCCTCCCCTCCTCCTCCTCCTCCTCCTCCTCCTCCTCCTCCTCCTCCTCCTCCCTCCTCCTCCTCCTCCTCCTCCTCCTCCTCCTCCTCCTCCTGGCCCAGTCTCTCCAACGGGGGCGGCGCTAAGCCTCGGCGACTGGGCAGCGCGCGGCGGCGTCGAGCATCCAGCACGGGGCAGCGCAACTCGCCGTGCCAAAAAAGTTCGACCGCCGGCAACGGCGAAGGCTCACGAGCGGCGAGCGTATTTCTATCCACGCCCTCGCGGTCTGGATTCCGGGGCGCGATCCCACGGATACGTTCCTCGCGGGGCATCCGCGAAAAAAACGGCCCGTATACGCGGGGTCGCGGCCCAGGGGCCAGGCCCGCGAGGCCGCAGATACGGAGATGCTTTTCGCCCACGCAAGGCGAGGCCCCGAGGGAAGTGGCTCCAGAGGGGGGGGGACCCTGGGTTGACTCTACATCGGGGGTTGCTAGAAGTGCCCCTGGCCCAAGATGCCCTCAACTTTTCGCTCAATGTTGGAGCCCCTGGGGCCCTCTGGGCCTCGTGAGGGGTGCTCTGGAGGCCGTGTGGGGCCTCCTTGGGCACCCTGGGCCAGGGACATTCCTGGCAACACCCGACTACATGGGACGGCAGGGTCTGTACACGCACAACACCGCCCCTGGCCGGGCCCATCATGGGCCCAGGAGCTCTGCACGTAAGCCCTACGAGGAGGGGGGCCAGGGAGGTCCCGAAGCTGGCGCGAAGGAAGCGGGGCCTACAGCCGAAGCCATGAGCAAGGCAGGGACAGCCAGGCGGTGGAGAGATCTGCTGCCGTCGAGTGGGCCCATGAGCCCAACTGTTCCAGATCAGACTCCTGCCACTCCGACGTCGCCGTGAGGGAAGTTGAGTATCGTTGAACCGATCCCCATCCCCAGCGGCGTGGCCTGGGCCCCACTGGCCGATCTACCCCCCCAGATGGGGATGCAGGTCGTTCCCTCGTCGGGTTTCGGGGGGTGCATCCCCAACGGGGGTGGTATAGTGGTGGGGGCCTCGAAGGGGATGGGGATGGGGATGGGGATCGGTTAACCGATACCGGGAAGTGGGCCCTAAGGGACACGGGTCTCGGCCCAGGGGGGGGCTCCTCACCAGGGGCCAGCCACTCGTCCTCCATCGCTTCCTGCCGGCCCCGGGGGGTCAGCGAGAGACCCCGTGAGTCCGCGCGCGGCGAGACGACGCAAGACCTGCCGAAACGGCCGACAAAAACTCGGGACCCGCTTCCCTCGGGACCCGTTTGCTTCACGGCAAATGGGACGCACAGAAACATAATAATCCCACCAGCCCTCTGGGCGTAGGTGATCTAACGATGTCTTCCTTTCCTCTTCCAAAAAGCCCCTCTTCTCCTTCGGGGAGGGGTTTACCCCTCCCCCTACCACCTCCCCTGGACTTTTTTGGAGGGGATCGCGGGTGGTTGGAGGACCCGTTTGCTTCACGGCAAATGGGACGCACAGAAACACACTAATACTATATGTCCTCCTTGGAGGCGCGCGTCCGACCCGAACACTTAGTACACCCATCTCATAGCATATCGCTGCCCGAGCGGTGGCCAGAAAGCGCCCGCCACGACGCATGTACTAGAAGATTTCTCTGTGCGCGCGTCGCCCCTGGGGGGGGGGGGGGGGGCGACGCACGCATAGTGTTAATATGTTCGGGCGACGCCGAGCCAAGGAAGGGATCCCGGGTTGAATCTACACAGGGCGACGGGATCTGTACAGATCCACTGCACAGGACTGGGCCCATCCTGGGCCCACTGAGCGCGCGGTGCAGATGCCTCCCTGGCCAGGCTGAGGGTGCGTGTACACCGCTCGTGGGCCCAGGATGGGCCTGGCAGGTGCGGTGGACATGTCCAAATCCGGTCGCCCGACCTGCACTGCCTGCAGCCCCTGGTCCTTCCAGCTCCACCCCTCGCCACGAGGGGCGAACGCATCCACGTCCACGCCCTCGCGGTCTGGATTCCGGGGCGCGATCCCACGGATACTCGGTCGCACAGATGCGCTCCTCGCGCACGCGCGGATAAACCGCCCCGTGTCCGCGGGATCGCGGCCCAAGGGCCAGGCCCGCGAGGCCGTGGACACGGACATGTTTCCCGCCCGCGACCTCACTAGGTGGCGACATCCAAAACCTACCCCCACTAACCATCGATCCTCCTGCATCGATGGGAGGCGGGGGCAGGGCTCGGGTCTCGCCACGTGCCCCACGAACTCCGAACCCTGCCCCCACCGCCCTTCGAGTTGCCCAAATCGTTGATCGGCGAGGGTAGGGTTCGGACTTCGCCGCCGCATGGCAGGCGGAAGCACGACGTCCGAAGCCCGTCGTCCTCCTCTCTTTCTTATTAGTAGTCTTATTACCAACAATAATATTATTAGTATTCGTCTATCTTTCTTCTTCTTCTTCTTCGCATTATTCTTCTTCGTATGATCTGTCTTAATAGTATTGTTCCTCTTATTGACATGGTTAGTATTACTCTGATACCCATATGCTTACTATTGTTACTATTAATTCATATTCTTGTTATTAGTATGAGTACTATTCTTATTAGTAGCACTACTATTACTAGTATTATTAGTACTATCATTCGCCGTCGTCGTCGCCGTCGTCGTCGCCGTTGTCGTCGTCGTCGTCGTCCTCGTCGTCGTCGGCGTCGTCGCCGCCGTCGTCGGCGTCGTCGTCCTCGTCGTCGTGGTCGTCGTCGCCGTCGTCGCCGACCCCTCGTGGCCTCGCCCCCGAGCCCCCGAGCTCCTGGCGAGGCGCCCCGAGGCCCCGAGGCCCTGCGGCAGCCCGCCGGCGCGGCCCGGCGCCCCCGCGCGGGGGGCCCGCTGGGCCAGCGCTGGCCCCGACGCGGCGGCGCACGGGCGCGGGTCCATGGCGGCACGCGGGCGAGGCGG